TATGACCTTAACATTATAGATAAGTCACGTGTTGGCATCTTCAACAGCAGCAGTAAAGGACCTGTGTGTGTGTGTGTGTGTGTGTGTGTGTGTGTGTGTGTGTGTGTGTGCCTGTGTGTGCGCGCGCGCTGCAGTCTTTACTGTGAGCGTCTCCATCCTCCCTCCGGCCCTGCACCGTCCCATCGGGCAGGATCTGCAGGTGGTGTCCGCCGTTCATGCAGTAAAGTCGGGTCAGCCTCCTGTGGTCCCGCGGTCCCGCCTCCACAGCCTGGTTCTCCTCCAATGCGAACATTTCTCCATCCGCCATCCCGCTCACAGGACAGACACAGAGGACAGACACAGAGGACACGCACAGAGGACACACACCGCTCCGGCAGACAGTCTGTCCCCCTGCAGTGGTCAGGTGTTTACATGCTCGTGCACGAGCGCAGAGACATCACGGGCAGGCTGGAGGCGCGCCCCCGACTCCTGGCCTCACCCTCATCTGGCCTTCATTGACCATGACCCTCCATTTTATTTATTTTTTTATTTCCACCCATTCATTTTATTTGGTGTCTTTACTACAAATGTTAACAGTATATTTATTTACGATACTCTGCCTGTCTGTGTTTAAAGGTTTTGAAAAAAGGGGAATTATATATTTTGAGTATTTCTGATTTTGGATCAAACTCTTCATGTAGGTTCTTCTGAAGAGAGACTGCAGCACAAAGGCTTGACCATGTTGAATGTCCACATGTGTGGACAGTGCATGGACACACATGAATCCAAGAATCAGACGAATCAACGTTTATTAGAAAACGTCTCTTTTTTCGACTGTATTTCAAAGTAGAATAATCCTGTGATATGATAATGATTTAGTGGCACAAGCATAAAGAACAAACGACAGTAAGGCTGAGCTGGTTCATGCTGATACCTGTATTATTGTGTATTTTGTTGTGTGTAGTGTCATGATTGATCTTCATTTGAACACAGGTTGTGATGTTTGAGAAAAGTATTTGCGGCATGTGTTAAATGTTTTGTCTGTGTTATTGTGTCATTTCCGACACTGGCTTCTGTTTCAGCCCGTGTTTTGAAAATGTGACTCCGGTTTGGACAAAAATGTTTGAGCAAATGAGAATAACTGTGATGTGTGTCATGATAATGTGTGATACAATACGTTTATTCCTAATTTCTTCATAGGAAAGTTCATGATCTTCACTGCAGCTGCGTTAACATTTGACACAGATTGAGACTGAAGACTGATACAAACCAGTGGATGAAGGTGATGAGGCCTCATGGTCACGTTTGGGCTCCGACAGTTTTCATTAGAACAAATGAAATTAGTACAAACTCTTCTTAGACACATTGTTTACACTAGAAAAACTACAATCTCTATCAAATCCAGCACATTAAACTGAGTCCATCTTTAATAGTGGAGGTCTAACTGGCCCTGAAAACACGCACCTGTCAACAAGTTTTATAATTCTGCTTCTCTATTCATCTGTCTCTTTACTTTGTCCCCCACAGTGAGAGGCTGACTGATAACAATATATAATCACAATTCAGATTTTATTGATTTATTGTCATGAACTTGGATCTGATTGGCTCTCCTCTGTGTCACGTGACTGGTCTCAGCTGCTCTGCCTCCTGCACAGATATGTTTTTGTCCTCAGGGCGACTGAGGTCAGAGCCTTTCATTATCTTTAGAGGAGCTGGTGCAGACAGCCAGTCAGAATCCCAGACTCAATAACACACTCTTTAAAAAAACTAAACATCACAACAACAAGATGCTGCAGAGATAATGTCACTGGACGTCACTGAGAGTCAATGAACCACATGCCAGAATGGAAAAGCGCGTTTATTTGATGAACAAGTGTTTGCTGTGATCATAAAAAGTGGCATACAACAAGCTGGATCGCTTCCATTGTTCTTAATCATCCAGTTAATATCATGGCAAATATCAGCATACAGTTCCTTGTTTTGAGAAGTACCACACAAAGACATACAGTTCGATCTTTAATCAATAAGAGGGGGAAAGATCAACAGGAGTCACACTACAGAGGAGAAATAAAACAGAGTCCGTATAGAAAAACTATTATCTGGAGACAATTACACCACATTTTCTTTACAATGGATTATATGTACATATTTGATTATTTTTCTAAGCAAAACAAAGCTTTTTTTTGAGAAAGAATATACCAGTGAAACATGATCTGCCCTTGATAATTCTCAAAAGTTAATGTCTGCATATATTTTATACAAAATAGATTTTCAAACAATATTTGGGTAGTGCAAATCTTTTTAGATTCAAGCTGGTTGATTACTTTCACAAACAGTTTGTGTGTGAAAAAGACTGACTCCTATCCTATTCACAGTATTACACAATTTGACCAAAGCCATCAATGTTGGAGTGAAAAATGTGTTTTTTTTAAAAAAAAACTGAAACACAAAACCTGTACATTTGTCAACTATGTGCTACTTAGTTTACACGAACATGTTGAATCTGTCTGTACGTGCTTTGGTCACCTTGTATTTAAACATCAAATAGGCTTTTTTGTGCAGTCTGTGTGGACTGGTTACTGATGTGAAGTGAATCTGTTCCTGAAGTTGAGTGTAAATCTCCTATATGCAATTAGCTTATATCAGAAAAACAAAGAGGAAACCACATCTTGTGTGATGGTGATAGATTATCTGTCATTTCGTTTGCATATTCAGTTATCCTCCTCAAAAATGTACAAGCAGGGATACATTTTTGAGCAAGAAGAAGAGGCAAGTGTGTGACTTCACATATATAGATGTATATAAACCTGTTTACATGAGCAGCAGCAGCAGCAGCAGCAGCAGAGATCTGGATTCACTGAATGTGAAAGTAACCCATGAGTAAACCCAATGCAGTATATGAGGTTTTCAGAACAAAATAAAGATAAAAAAATATACAAGGTGTCCTTTTTCGAAGCCTGGGTATGAATGTCAGCGGTGACAGAACATTGGTGACATTTTTTCGTCATCTGTGTGTTTGAATTTTTCCTGTTTTTTGGTTCTTGATGTCAGGACATTAACGACCAAACACGGACGAACACATACTGCGAATCAGACAAAGTTTCAACAACCTGAGTGTGGGAGTGGCTTCATGTTTATTAGTGCTTTTAATTTCCTTGTTGGGGTATTTTAGAACATTTTGACATTTTTCTACTCGCTCACTCGACATATTCATCCAATTATATTTTCATCTGAATTAATTCCTCTGTACGAGCCACATTCGTGTCAAAACCTGGATTCATTTGTGCTTTAATAAACACAAACAGCATGTCGGGGTTGTGAAACACGCCGGTGACAAACTCGACTGATGAAAACACACAATTAAAATCATCTTACACACCACACAGTAATTGGGGAAACTGACAGACCTACATTAATCTGTGATTACACAACACATCTGAGTGCTTCGTGTTACAAATACTTTTCTCTCCTCGCTAATGACCTCGAATCAACTCTGTTCATCAGACAAATTTGATCAGCTTCAATGCTGGGACTCATTTTTCTCTTTTCATACTAACACTGATAAAGTTTCAGCATCACTGGAAACAGACAAAAGAGTTTGGCACCGAAATAGTTCCCAGAGAATAAAGGATTCATTTTGTCTGCCTCCCAGTCAGTGACACGCTGCCTTCACTGTGGCCTGGACTCTGTCAGGTGACGGATGCTAAGTGCTTTCCAACATTGGGGTTTGACTAAATACACAAACAAATAAAACATGCAAAGTTCCTAAAAGACGAGGGGCTGACAGAGCAGAGGGGTTAAAGCAGAGGGTCAGGGGGGTTTCAGCAGCTGTGGGAGGTTTACTGGTGAATGAATCTGCCATCAGCCGATCCAACGCGCTCTTTAGATGAGCTGTCAATCACACTAACTGTTCACATTAAAGGAAAAGTTCAGCATTCTGGGAAGTACGCGTTTTCCCTTTTTCTGAGTGAGAGGAGATTTGATAGCACTCCCTGTGTTTGCACAGTAAATATGAAGGAGGGAGCGTTTCATGATGAGGACCAGTTGCTAGGCAACCAGTGAAAATACCAGCTCAGAAAGGGTCTTGCCATATAAGCTCACGTAAAGCAGTGACTTGTTCTGAGGTTCTGTTTTCACCCGTCTGTTTGTTGGCTTGGATGTGGTATAGGTGAGGAAAGATCCCATTTAAGTTTGGTGGGGGTCTGGATCGGGGGGGGATCCAGGAGTCATAATTAACGTCTTAAATATTATGTGAAATTGATTTAACTTCAGGAGATCTGGAGTTGTGTCCTCTAAGTGCCAAATACGTTTTGTGGTGCTGATAAAGTCAGACTAGCTTGTTCCCCTGTTTTCAGTCTATAGCTGAACTTAACAACTGCTCACTCCAACATCACATTTACTGTCCAGATACGTGACTGATCCACTCGACTCTGCACATGTCGGCAAGTCAACATATTTCCCACAATGGTAAACCAGTCCTTCAACAAATAAAAGCAAGGCAGTAATTTCCAAAATAGACGTTAGTGAGAGTGCGGATAAATTGTGGAAGGATCGTCAGTGGCAGAATCGAAACTGCATCTTTGTTGAGTTTAGAAAACAGAATGCAAGAAGGAGGAAAACATGAAGGACGGTTTTTCATCAACCATTCGGAGTCATTGCAGAATTTTTCTGATAAATCAAAAATGACATAATCTTGCAAAAATAAAATATGCCCTCCAATTGTTGATTGGTAGACGCACAAACTTGACATTCCATTATTAGTCTATTGGGGCCGGAGTGGGGATTAAAATAAACATCAACGTGAGCTAATTCCTATTAGAGACAGTTTAAAGTTTCATCTAAACTCATATAGTAAAACTGTGCAGCACAACAGTCTCTTCACAGTCTTTTAAAGCCTTTAGCAGGGAACTAAGTGCTCGAATCGCACTTTAAACGTGGAGTTAAATGTGTGGGAGGCAGGCTTTGAATATTCTTTCTTAAGAATAAGATCAGTTCGACACGGACGATGGACTGAGCTGCCACTTCTAAAGAGAAACACAGTCACTAGAGAACAAAAACAAAGGAACTTGCAACTGCATGTGATATAAAAAGTACAATCAATGCACGATGAAGGAAGACCGTGATGGGTTAAAGAGAAGCACGCCTTAGACAAGGAAGAAGAAAAATGGCGAAGATGATATTTGAAGCAAACAAGGCACATATTTTTTCCCTTTTGAAATAGACCTGTGTTAACCTGGAAGAGGTTGGCTTGTGGGAGAAATCATCCTGTCAAATGTTGCTTAACAGTCCAACAGAATTGTTTCGCATGTCCAAAGCAAAGCAGAAATATGCTTTTTAACGAGTGGAGTTTTTTTCCCCGTATGACTGACAAACATTTTGTTAAAACCTCCTAGAAAAACTAAATGAGGAACGTACAGTCTCAAAGCCTACGTAAGAGTGTGTTATTAATTAAGCTTTGTTACCTTCCCAGGTAACAATGACCTGGAAAAACTGTATAAACTGTTACGATTTGAAAATGTAGAAAATACTATCAGAACCTGTACATAGATATTTGTTTCATCTATCTTAGATATTGGTTTGTATCTGAAGGTAAGAAACCTGAGACAACGTGGATGTTAGCCTATTTCTCTTTGTGATTATCTTTTATCTTACAAATATTTTCCTACTTGTTGTTAAACGCTACGACAACACAACCTCTGTGCTCGCTGTCTGGAATCTGCACAAACATTTCCAGTCTCTCTCTCTTCCCTCCAGACCTGTGAGCCACTGCACAAAGTTGCATAACATCATTCGCTCCTCGCCTCAGATCCTCAGTCCTTACATCTGGAGGTGGGTGGGAATGGGGGGGGTTAGGGTTAGGTGGGCGTGCGGGAAGGGGACGCGAGGTGACGTGGTGGGATTTTTAAGGCATCGTGTCTGTTGCGGGGCACAGTCATCTCTGGTGGAAGAGGAGGGGTTTGACGCTCCCGGCCTTGAATTTTGGTAACTGGTTGCTGATGATCTCTGCCAGCATCTCTGGGAACTCCACACTCAGGGATTTATTCACAAAGGTGTAGAAGCAGAAGTTGAGCAGTCCTCCGACCATCTGAGGACACACAGAGGATGAAGGGATTAACATCAATACACGCACATAGTTTTGTGTGTGCGATGCAAAACAAAAACACATTGTGGATTAACAAAGGCCTGGTTTAAGTACGCACGGGGCAGGGTGGTTATGAAGATATTTGTCTCAACATGTAAATGCTGTAAAACTTGTACTCCGCAACTCCAACTTGTTTTTGGCAAAACAGTTTAAACTAGGTGAATGCTTTAAATGCAATGATACGATGAAACCCAGACAGTAGATCACTGTTTAAACATTAGAAGAAGAGTTGTAGACTGCAGCTGAAAACATGTAGCTGCACCGTGTGCTGGCTCTTTGTACCTCATGCATGGAGTCGAGCAGCTTGGTGAGCTGATAGAAACGCTGCCAGTTCTGGCTGGAGTTCTCCTCACGCTTCACGATAGCTTTCCCCAGCTCCTTGATGTAGGCCATCCGGATCTCATCAAACACCGCCTGGCTCTTCAGACCGTCCTTTGGCACTGTGGCAGGGAAATCAAGGTTAACTTCTGGGACAGAGATAAGGATCTTTTGTAGTGTGCCAGCGAGGAGTTTTTAGTGCCAATACTTCACAAACACGTCTCAACTGCATTTCATGTAGGTAAATTCCATATTAAATAACAGTAAATGTCTAAATATACACCACATTATTTCAGCGTGCATCACCATTTATATTTAGCATCACAGAGATCTGACAGGAAACACACCTGCCCATACAAAGCAAGCACACCCTGATGAAAGCTGCACACAAAGCTGAGGTGTGTTCAACTACCTGCAATTAAATGATTGAAAATACATTTTACACCAGCTTGATAACAATCATTAACTCTCCTGTAATAACTCCTGATTTACATTTCCTAGTTTCCGTGGACTGTCAGTAAGTTTGTTAGTGAAACTGGGTGTGTGTATTTCTCTGCGTCTAACCAGGCAGGGGGTGATTTAATTCTTATTTACGATAATTGCATGTCAGATAATGAGTTGGGAAAGTGCTGTGGTGGAATGTTTCCTTCCGTGCATCCATCAACATTATCCTTCAGCATCGGTGGACAGTATTGGACTCGAGTAAAGGGTTCTGCAATGATTGCGTCATTACAGTGCCACCTTTCACTTGTGATGCTGGAAGAAGGTGAATGGCAGTTCAGCCATGTGAGGGTGAAAAGTCTGACCTGTGCTGAGCAGCAGCAGGACTTTCATGCACAAATACTCGTCGTGGGAAACCTGCAGCCGCACTAACTCGGTGGAGATCTTCAGCATCATCTCACACTGGTCGGCCATGTAGGGCAGCTTCATCCGCTCCCTAGTGGAATCAGAAAAGGACAAAGTTAAACAGCACGTAAATGGTAAAATGGACTGCATTATTATAATGTTTTTCAAGGCTTATTGACCACTCAAAGCATTTTACAGTACAAGTCGCAAAAACTTTCATATACGCTTCTAACACACACTACTGGGAAACTCGTTCTATTCTTTATTTGGAGTCATATGTAGCAACTCCAGTGCTGCTAGACGTGTGGCCAATATTCAGATTACAGCGGCCATCATCAGATGCAAATTTAAACAAACAGTGTGAGCAAAACAATATTACTGCCCTGAGCATGTGTGATGTGCCGACTGCTAACTACACTCAGAGCGCCGTTTACAAATGGAGTCATCAAGTCTATAAAAAAGATGATGGATGATGAATACTGATGACAGCTGGCACTGGCTGATTCTTGGGATATACAACAGTTACAGAGCAGAGAGCTGCTGATAGATATAAATAAACAGATGTGTGCGTCGGCAGCTGGGGAATAGAAAATCACAGACTGTCAGATGTCACATCAGTGCTCGATTTCTGTGCAGTTCAAGTAAAGACTCCATTTATCAAGCCATACAATTGAATATGTTTACTTTACCAATACTGGCAACCAAGAGAAGAGACTGTTACTGGGTTCACAGTATAGTGGTGGAAGGCAGCACTTTTGTATTTGTAAAAACTACTTTAAAATGATCTTTTATTTATTGAAAGTATTAGAAATGATTGATTCTCTAAATATTTCCGTGTGTATCAATAATTGAATAGTTCTCAGTCGTGGGGTAATACAGATAACCCTGATGTGTTGTCACAACAGGCATAACGTGACACTTTCATGCTTCACCTCTAAAGGCAACAGTGAGACATGATGTCAATTAGAGAATGCGCTGTTGGCGTTTGTTTTTTAAAAGTTCAAATATTAACTGTAAAGTAAACAATACATACTCGTTGATGACAAGGTCGGGCGCGAAGCAGAGCATGTTGCCATTACATTGTTGGTAAGACCTCCAGCCAAGACCGAAAGACATGAGGAAGAGCCATGAGCACTGCAGCAGTGTCATCTGGTCATCCAGGTGCAGGTTCCTGAAACCTGAGCCGAAGAACAGAGAGATACTTCCAATGAGTATTAGCACAAGGTCACAAAGCGTGGTAGGGTGTTGGTGAGGGTGACCATGAACAGTTACCCCCCCAAAAAATACAGGAAACATTTTAATGAGTGATTAAATGTGTTCAGCAGGTAGTTTTAAGAAATACCAAACAACAACAGCACATATTATAAAGTGTGTCCACATGTCATTACAGAGAAATGAGAGATATGTAAACACAGAAACATTTTAAAACTGCAGATTCATTTAACTGTGTCCAACCTTCACTTTGCAAATGACTTTGATATAATCCTAGATTCACTGTCTACTAACCTGGCAGAGATTTGGCCCACTTGACCGCAGAGATGACCTGCCTGCCGCCCAGCCTGTTCAGGGTGGTCATGAGGCGGGTGGAGGTGTCGGGCAGGGTGCTGTCGTATCCGGCGAAGATGGTGTCCGGCTCAATAGCTTTCAGCAGGGAAAGCATTGTGGGGACGAGTTGAGGCATGCACTTGGGTACCAGAGGGCAAGCCTCAACCGGTGGAGCCGTCACCACCTCTGGTGGGTTGCTCTGCTGGGTGCCCTTTAAGCGGTTCATCTTCTTGGTTTTGCGTGCTGGAGTAGAGACAACAGCAGTGAACATGCAGGATGGGAATACATGATGAAAAGAGAAAAGGTGAAGAGGAGACAGGAACAACCTCAACGTTTCACTATTACGCCTCAGCCGTGTGGTTAATACGTACCTTCCAGGTTCATGCCTGCCATCAGACACTTCCGGAAGCGGCAGGCCGGACAGTTCTTCCTTCTGATCTTGTCTATTATGCAGTCATTCCTCCCGGCACAAAGGTAATTATGCTGACCTGAGGCACCAAGAGGAAGATTTAACTGTTATTGACCTTCAGTGCTTTGGCAGAAACTCCAGAGAAATAACTCCAATTAGCTGTATATATCCTTAAACTTGTAATGATCATGCCGCCTACCTTAAATTATAACAACTCCAGCATGTGCATACACCTGTGGGACATGATGAATCAATCAACCAGGAAATAAAGATGTCTGACTTCATACCTTCCACTGCTCTCTTGAAGAAGACTTTGCAGCTGCCACAGGTGAGAACGCCGTAGTGGCAGCCTGACGCCTCATCAGAGCACACGAGGCAGATTTTATGATTCCCGCTCTTTGCCTGCACTGAGGATGTAGCATTGCCTCCTTCCTGTCTAGAGGTAGAACTGGAAAGCAAGGATAAAGACAGAGGAGAAACATCAGAGATACTTTCTCTTACCATAAAAATGTATATTTGATAAATAAATATGTCGCATTGCACATCGACCTTTACTGTCTGCTAAAACTGTTTCTTTGTAATGTTTCTTATTCAAATTGCTGCTTAGCTTATTTTATTCCATACAGTAAAACATACTGTATGTTTACAGTATGCCATTTATACTGCCTACTCCTGAAAGCATCCTCTCAGTTTCAACAGTTCAGCCGTAGTTCACACTAAAAACTCTGCACTTAAACCAAATAAATAAACTACACAGATACCCTACACATACGTATCTTCCTATTTGCATCAATGTGTTCCTTGTGCTTGTTTTTCCTCAACTTTGCCTTCATTTAAACATCATGAGTGAAGAAAAGGGAGTCTTACTGTTCCTTTTTGGGCCTAAATTATATGAAGAGCTGTGGTCCCATCCTAAATCTAGTGTCTGTCATAAAACGGCAAATTCTTCCTTTGATTTCAACCACAAACATTTCCAGACATAGTCGCCAATGGTTGGAGATGCACCTTTTCAAAATCACCACTAGAGGACATCCTGCTTTACTTCAAGCAATGCCCAGAGGTCCACACCCCCTTCCTAACCAAGTGGCCACAGCAACAAAAACAACGCCCACACTGAGAGGATATTGAGCCTGAGACGAGCAACAATCCGACTTCTGCCAACTCGATTAAAACAAACAGGGTTTTTTGCTAAAAACTGCTCCGAATGGTGGCTGCACAATAAAAACATGCAGATTAGAGCCACAGAATCAAGTTCACTCATAGTTATAAAACATGAGGTTATCATTAAAGCCCCAGCAGTCAGAGAGCACGGCACAAAAGGAAACCCTGAGTGAAACATTAAAGCATCAAGTCCAGAAGCGTTTAGCAGTCAGATAAAATAAATAAATAAACCATGAGACAGAAACCTCAGAGGACTGTGTCTAACCATGACAGGGCTGAGAGCTTTCTGAGCATCACTGACAACACATTGTGATCAATAAGTCTGTCCATTTACCTCTTAAGACTTGTATTCAATACAACTGCAGGCTTACAATTTGTGATCTTTCATTTCCTGACACTGAGCAGAAATTCAGATCTTGCAGTGAATTGCTCACAGTATCCTGGTTAGCTTTGGGAGGTGTGGACACCAAATGGGGTGAATCACACACTTTCCTCCTGGTCCAGCTGTGAGGGTTGATACCTGGTATCCGGCCAATGAGTATTTTCACATAGATCTGACTGCCAAGATCACATTCTGCCAAATGTTGTGAAGAACAAAAGGTTTTAATTTAGGTTTGGTAGATACAACCAAGATGTTTCATAAAGAAGCACAAAACAATAAATCTCACTGCATATTGTGTGCACAATTTATCATTGTTTTAAGTGGACAATCTGAATAATAATATAAATATTTTCAGCTGGACTCTGTTGTTCATGAGTAAAGGAACATAATTTTAGACATTAAATAATGTGTTTATTTCTTGCACTAAACATGTTTTTAGTTGAAAATTGAACATGAGCTCAAAAAGACCCGTTTAAAATAAATACATAAAATTACAAATTCAGCAATAAGAGATTTGTATGTCAGGGGGCGTGAGAGAAAAAGAAAAGTCATCAGACTAGTGAACTTGAAGCTGCATCATCAAAAGACAGTGAAAGATGCCGTTTGTGGTCACAAACCGCAAAGAATTAGTGTATGATGCTGCAGTCCCTCTCGTCTCTGTGGAAAACTTTAGCATCTTTCTGCTCAATGATTCAGTGCCACTTTAACTTAACAGTTTTATTTTAGTCCCACCATCATTATGAGTGTCCTCTCAAGATGCATCAGGCAGCCGTTTTCAGAAAAAAGGCTCATATAAACCAACTGTAAACCACATCCTCAAAACCAAACAGCAGAGAAATGTACACAGTAACTGATGAAATGTACACAGTAACTGATGAACATAGTGAGGCATTTAATAGCTAACGGCTAAAATAATGTTGCTCCTCAGTGTCTGCTCGATGTGTAAAGGCGCTATTGTTTACTGACGTGTCATAATGCCAGTAACTACCTTATTAGGTGATAATTTGTCAACATTGTGTTTATAGCTTTTTCCATCCTACAGCTGCCAGTACGGAAAATAATACAGTTTTGAAATCAGTTAATGGAAACACGTCTAAATAAAAACATTTATGGTCATTATAGGATGGTCAACAATTTGTGATAATTAAAGTATTGTGTTTGCTTCATATTGCCATGGCCTACAATTGTGCTGTGATGATATTCCCATATGGAGGAATCATGGGTCACAGTCTGCATTCATTTTGTTCCAATTAGCATTTATTATTAATGTTTCATTACCGTCATTTAAATTATCTCAGTATTTCATTATACCCTGAATCACCACATCTGAGAAGCTGTTTGGATCACAGCCAACTGTCATTCATTAAAAGAGGCAGCAGCAGCCTGGGTGAAGATGCGTACAGTAATATAATTAATATCAAAGCTGTGCCTCTGCCATGATGAAGCTGATATGCCATCTGTCATACACAGATTTATGTGGGCTTTCCTTAACACACTGCCAATAAGAGTGCACATGCAAACAAAAGCCCTTCAAGGCCCAAAAAAAGGGTGGGGTGACCAGCAGGGTGGACGTAGGACGCTAATGAGTGGTGATGATGTCGGAGGGCGTGGGGGAGGGTAACCAGTTAGTCCTTTAATGGCCCACTGGGACGTCACCAGGACGGCTTTACACGACAGCTTTAGGCTACTGGTTCAAATCCAATTACTGCAGCTGCTCTTCCTTTCCAACAACAAAGTAAGTCTGAAGTGACATCACCACTCTCCAGTGTTTATCTCTAAACTTTATTTGACTATGTTCATCTGAGCTAAAGTGACAAATCAATTTGTGGAGAATGTCAAGCACAAACCAATCAAAGCTGCAAAGTGATGCGGAGAGACCAAACTTCCTCTTTTAGAAACCATCTGTTGAAGTCTGCACTCGCCATCAACAGGAAGTTCTCACATTCCCTCAGAGTTCACTGTCGGTCATAACTCAGCCGCAGCACTAAGGCAGATACACCCCAAAATGTGTCTCAACTTTAACCAGAGCAACACTTAGAAAGTCGTCTGCGGGAGTGTGATCAATCAGCCTGGCCTACAGTGAGTTGAGCCTCTTCATGCATTTACGATAATGCCAGTGGCCCACTGCCCCGCTTAACAAATCATAATCCCCTTTTAGCTGTGAGTGTCATGAGTAGCAGGAGCCTGCTCTTCATACTGCAGCCTCTTTGTCACCTCAGATAAACAGCTGTAAAACCTATATTAGATTACTAGATTGTAAAGTCTGTTTGTGCATATATTCCACATCTTTGTCTACATCAACCTACAGTTATGACCTTCTTCAAACCCAGCCACTGCAAATGAAACACCTCAGAGAAAAATCTATCATACTTACTTATCAGTACTATTGCCTTTTCTTTTGAGGGGAAAATAGACATAAACATGTTTTCAGAATCATCACAACAGTTTTATTATCCCTGAGTTAGAGCACACAGTAGAAGCAGAGTAAGATGAATAAGTGCATGTGACTCAGGTATGCAAAAGCTCCAGTTTACCTGCTGTTTCTAGTCTCCACACATGTAAGTCGGTCAGTAAACTTAGTTAGAAAATATACTCTAATGTGAGACTTTCCTGAGTTTAAACTAAGTGATTTTATCTACCTCGATCTGCCGGGGTGGTACAACCTGTGTATGGGGAACAATGATATAGGATTTCTTAGTCACAGATAAAAGTCTGCCTGCAAAAGCTAAAAATAAGATATGTACCTTCAGTATTGGTCGTGCTGCCTCGGTGGGGAAGCAGTGGCACTGCTGCGTAGAGTGTCAAATACATGGCATTCTGGAATTTGCAGTGTGGAAATGCATAATTTCAGGTCCTTCCTTCTTACCTAAAATTATTATTTTACAATGTTGTCATCTTATTGCATGAAAATATTGATTGATTGATTTACAATGAGCATCTGTCAAAAAATGGAATCAAAGCATAAGATTTCGATGGTTCAGACCATTTGGAACCAGTTCTTAGTTCCCATCCCAACTCACATGTGGCGAGACCAAGCCCCTAAATAAAACTGAAAATTATAGTGCACTGCTCTCCACAAAAATCTGACTGGGTTGCTGCATGCTTTAAATCGGATTTCTTTGTTACTGCAATGTTTATTACTGCGACTGATATGGACCAACATCGTACAAAAATGTAATCTTCACCAAAACTCTGAGCATGTAGAGGAGAGCAGAGGAGGAGAAGGAAGTGCTCCTTCCCTGAGGTAAAGGCCACCAAAATAGAAAGGGGAACTGGCCTGCACGCTCTGAGTTGAGCTTGCAAGCAGAACAACAACACAGCTTCTATAAGAGGAGGAGAGGCTGGGTTTGTGTGGCCAAAGACTGGGCTGGACTTCTCCAAAATATCCACCTCCTGTGCCGTCCAATAAAAACAGTCGGAATGTATATATGCTGTAAGTACACTGCCATTAGTGAAACAACCTCACCAAACATAAGTAATGCTGCTACACTAAATTAAAACATATAATTTGTGATAAATTAAGGGAAACATCAACATAAAATTCATCTATGTTATCATCTATGAAAATAAACATAAGTGGACATTTTACATTTTACAACCATACCAAAATCTGTTTTGAAGAGCAAGAAGTATTTCTCTCTGACAGTTACTTGATGATCAAATATGATAACTTAGAGTTTTGCACAGCTGCATCATTGTAGAGCTATGCACAACGCTCTTTGCTCTGCATTCCCTTCTTCTATCTCTCAAGGGACATTGACCCGAACTGACCATCAGCAGCAACCATCAACCCCGCCCCAAATAAACTACTTTATGCCATCAGCAGCCAGGCACAACTCGGGATAACCACCTGTCCTCTGTGTACCTGTCATTTGGGTGCACATGAGAGCGTACCACCTGAGTGT